TTTCCTTTTATAGGAATGATAATAATAGATTTTGATATTTATTTTTTAATACCTTGCTGTTATTGATTTGGAGCATTAAAAATCAGTGGTCGGTATTGTAGTTACGGCGATAGCCTTGACCATGATTAAAACAGGATCCTTAGGGCGCGTGGCGCAGCTGGTGGTTGCAGGGTAAACGCAATAATATATCGCGGGCTCGGCCAAGAGTAGAAAACAGGGTGGTTTATAGTCAGTAAGAGACTAACACTCCCTTTTTTTTGTCAAAGGAAAATCATCCAATGACTTTTCCCGCCCAGGGTAAGGCAAGAGAGAGTGTCAGACTCTTACTGACTAAAAACCCCCCCGTTCCTTCTCCTGCTCTGGGCCGAGGTCGCGGTGCCTCATTGCGCTTTTCCCATAGCCCCGGCTGAACATCAGCTCTATTGGGCCCCGTCTGTGGAGGTCTATTGGCTCTTTGAGGTGCGCGCGGAACGCTACAGTCTAACGACTTCCTGTCGCCACATTCAAATTACTTCTTCATTTGATGGGATTTTACCATAGAAAAAGCACATTGCATCAATAGACCGCGTTATTGCGAGCGCGAATACAAACATATGACCATAATATGTACATAACATGTGATACTATGAAATAGACTGTTTATTTAAAAAAAAGCAACATAATTAAAATAGGTACAGGAAGGAAAATATTTATTTTGTGTCTATTTATTTGTGGTCTAGTGGTAGACCTAGACATATTTAGCGTTCTTTCCGGATTCCGTATCAGGCCAAAGAAGTATTTAATTTATTAGACAAAAAACTCGCGGGGAGTAGAATTGACCGGACCGAAAAAAAAACAAAGATCTGGTTCCGACCTTAATGCACCCATTAAACTATTATAATAGTATGTAGGAAACAACTCTGCTACAGGTAAAATGAAGCTATAATTGTGTTGCCTCAACAAAGCATAATACTTAGTACATATATTTCAATTCCTAAACAAGTAATGCATTAAAGACCTTACAGTATTGATGTGAGAGTAGAAATTGCTTCAAATGCAAAGCCTGTAGTATTATTCATAGCAATGTTTACAATAGCAACAGCCCGGGTTACGTCATTGTTATCTATTAATATTCGTAAGTTAAAACGTACGACACTTGAGTTATCAATGTATTAACTTTATGATATTAATAATCTGTGTAAGTGTTATCGGTCATAACAATGTGTGTTAGTGCTTAAGAGTATTTTTCTCGGCCGATTTCCTATATGAAATACATTCTCGTTCAAAATCAAAACGTCTTATTAAATATCTCTATTTATAAATTACCAGCGACCCGCTCCAGCTTCGCACGGGTGTAATGCTGGTACTAAATTCTCCACTATTTTTATCAATGTTATTATATAAATACTTATATATAAACAGGCCACTTCAATCACACTGTCTATTTAAAAAAAAACGCATCAAAATCCGTTGCTTAGTTTTAAAGATTTAAGCATACATTGTCGTTTACATTGACGTTACGATTTACGGTTTCGCGGGTTCGATTCCCTTACGGAACATCTCTTTGTGTGATCCACAGATTGTTGTTCCGGGTTTGGGTGTGATGTGCGTGTGAAATTGTATGTTTGTAAACGCACCGAGAAAATCCTAAAGTGGGGCAACGTTTTAAAAGCATAAATAAATAGAGATATAGGGAGAAAGAAAGCGATTTTTTTGTTATACTAAATAGTGATAAACATCAACAGGCGTTCCTTAGTCTCCGTTAACACTTAAAAACGGCTGAACCGATTAAGATTATTTGGCCTTGAATTAATCGTGGAAGTCCAGGAAAGGTTTAACAGTAACAACATGCGGGAAAAGTCGCGAGTAACATGTTAAAAACTGTAATGTTCTTTCCTAAACAAACATTTCTGTCGGTGACAAAAGATTTTAAAAAGCAACTTAACTGGCTTCTTCGAGCTATAAGAGTCGCCAGGCCAGCTACTCTTAAATTATAATAATATTATTTTTTCTAAAACTCGAGATTAGTTGAACGGATTTTGTTATGATTTTGACCTTTTAGTACTTATTAAAGTTCGTCGGGTCGATTAGTCCATAATAAAAATAACACTCAAAGTATTTGGTGACAGTACCGACCGGTACCAATCGAATTCAAACAAGCTTTGCTACTTTGTCATAGAATTTTCGGCATCGTCTAACTACGCTAGACAGATGTTTTATTTGATTTGATTATTACATTTATTTCTCATAAAAGTTTAGTGATGGTAAGCATATGTTGCCGCCTAGAACATAAACCAGACCAGAGAAGTTAGAAGTGTTTTGTATGCAGTTACGTACATAGCGACTACACACTGTATACAGTGTCATGGTGGCCCGGAGGTTGACACACCCGCTTCTTATTTTTTTTTTTTTATGTAATAAGTCGGCAAACGAGCAGACGGATTACCTGATGGTAAGCAATCAACGCCGCCCATGGACACCCGCAACGGAGGAGTTAAGAGTGCGTTGCCGACCTTTTAGGTATTAGGGATTTGGAAATTTAGGGATTGGGGAAAGGGAAGGATTGGGCCTCCGGTAACCTCACTCACACGGCGAAACACAACGCTGTGGTTGTTTCACGCCGGTTTTCTGTGAGGCCGTGGTATCACTCCGGTCGAGCCGGCCCATTCGTGCCGAAGCATGGCTCTCCCACACTTATCCATTAGAGTGCGTGTCCGAAACCTGCCAAGCACCAATGTGACATTTTCTAAGTCATATGTACTTTCTAACTGTATTTAGATACCATTGGCAAACGGTCAAGAAAACATCGTGAGGAAATCTGGACTTGTAATTTCTGATTAGAAGTCTTAAATCACCAATCTGCTTTGAGCAAGCGTGGTGATTATAGCTCAAATCTTTTTGGGAAGGGGCTTTTTGTCAGCAATGGGCACTTATCACCAAAAAAGCGGCTACTTAACCATCAAGATCAACCGTACATGACATATTCCAGTACTGGACTAGAGGATGTTTTGCAAGAGTTCAGATTTATAGGAGAACGCTGATGTTAAGTCTCTTTCCAACGTTTACTTTTAGCTTCTTAGGCTCTTACGATACTAGTCAAAGATGATAAAGGAGACAGAGGTCAGAACCGAACGGTTGGTAGAAAAATATTTTTTATACAGATGTTACGCCATGGTACTAAATAACAATTCAACAGTTCTCCACAACTCCATTAACAGATGTCGACAAAATTTAACAGCGTGATTTATAAAAAAATAATACTTAGGGCTGCTTTTTCAATCGACAGATAAATGTTATCTGAGGAATAAAATTGTTGCTGTCACTGTTTTATACAAACATTCTGATGCGACAGCATCATCATTATTCCCCAGATAACTTTATCTAACCATTGAAAAATCAGCCCTTAGTCTATTAAACAAACAATTAGTCCAGTTGGCCGCGACACATAATGTTTTCAAACCAATAATATTGTTATCAAATAAAACAAATAAACAAAATAATAATTTAGAATTTGTTGGTTAACGGTAAAAATTAATATCAAGGTCGAAATTGCGTCGTCGACGTACGATCGATAATTTGTTGGGTGTGTCTCCATTGTATTAAATTTTGTGATGTTATATACAAGAATAACAATCAAATAGTAGTATTTCAAATATACATGGATATCTGTTATTGTCTTTTCTTATTGAAAAACGATTTATTTACTTTAGAATATACGTTTCAATATATATAAAACATCGTAAAATATATTGCGCATAACTCAAAAACAGATAGACCAATTTCGGCAATATAACTTGTATTTGTTATATAGGAAGATTTATAAAAAGAAAATTTTAGAAAAACTGAGTATAAATCGGATATATTGCTACTTTACCGTCGTTCGTTAGCTAGATATTTGGACATCCATGCGTAACAGGGACTGGTCGGATACTTTTAAATAGTTTTCATAAAAACGGGATGGACAGGGAAAACATTAACAATTGAAGGCTTTGTAAACACCATTACCGTGGGCAGTATCTGAGTGTAAGGACCAGGACCTCTAAGTTAACCAGCTCTGAAACACTGACTGAGCAATGCCGCTTAGCGCACATCTCTGAGAATGTTCTCAAAACTCCCAATAGATACTGGTCATCACGTCCGAAACTAAGTCACCTTCAACCGTAAAATACCAATAACCCCAAGAGCGTATAAGTAGGCTAGCGATAAACTATTTCGATCTTTAGATTGGTGAAGTTTATTTTACCTCACGGGTTAATTCCGATACCTAGGCCACAGGAGTAGATAAATTTCCTAGGCTAGTTCCCTGCCTCATAAGATCTCTCTAGGGTGCTACTAAAGTTTAACGGGTAATAAATCTACTCGACCCTGTTTAAAGGGTTGTTCACCCCTGCAAGTCCCGATTGATCGATCTACACGAAAAAGTTTTAGATTTTGTGTGTTTTTTTATCGACAAAATTTGTTAAGTTTTCATGTTTTTTTCCTGGCCTGGGTCGTCTTTGTATTGGTATTTATTATTTATTGTTAGCATTCAATTATTCCTAGTAGCCAAATAAGGGGCAGAATATATGTATAGATACACATCACTTAAATCTTGATATACATTACGCATCGTCCAATAATAAGGTTTACTTTAAGTATCACAAATAAACTGAAACGATCAATGTTACATTCGTAAACCAAATATTTCATAATCTCATTTTTACATTTCATCAGTACGCAAAAAAGTTACACCATGCATAGAAATATTTCAAAATCCCTATCTAAAAACTCATAAAATATATAAAGGCAATTATTATTGACAGGTACCTACAGCTGTAATGCTGTCCTTGTTATTTTAAAACATTTAATAAAGGACAACAATAGATTCGAAAAAAATAATTTGAATTTTGTCCGTTCACTCATTCGCACACATGACTCACTCACGCTCACATAAGAAAATACCGCATGAACGTTTTGCATGGAAACACACACGTCTAGCCGTCTTTATATTTACTTTGTAGTCTGACGCAAGCGCAGTGGCGATCGCGACGAGGTTATGAACGCACGTGTGCTCATAAAACAACGATAAATATCAAATAAACAGTGTATCGATAACAGAAAATCGATTCTCGATATGGCTTCGACACCAGTGAACCTACAGGAGTTAAAACCTGAAGAATTTAAATCGTTTCTGGATTCATTCGATTACGTATTTTCGGATTGTGATGGTATGTTTGGCTCATTGAATTGTGTTATGGTTTTTGATAGTGGTGTTACCCGGTGATAAATTCGTGTGCTTTATGTAACGGTAATAGTGGGTCAAATTCGTAATTAGAATTTGTTTTTTTTATTCGTGTATTGGTCCAATAAAACCGGTTGTGATGGCATATAGGTTACTTTGACCTTTAGTTTTGTGTTTAGTCCGTCCATTGTTCAATAACCTACGAGTATAAGCTTTCTTTTTCAATGTAAGAACATACGACCTATGTGAAATAGTTTTAAAAATTAAAAAAGTATATTTAATTTATACTAAGTATTTTCTGTTTGGTTTGTGTTTATTAATTTATCTACGTTATTATGAAGCCAGTAGCTCTAAAACGATTATGTCAATATCAGCTGTTTTCGTATTTTCCTCATTGAAATTTCAACCTTTTCACTCTGAAACAAGGTTATTTTTAATTATTATTTGAATTCAGTATAGTTGTTAATTGAAGGAATAAATTAATTATAATAAATGGTCAATAAGAAATTTATTATCACATTATTCACATGTTTTGTAGTTTCCAACTAGTCATATTCTATATTTTCATCCAAATGTTAAAACCAAGACTATTTTATGGATTTCGAAATAAATCGCAGTATGTGATGTTATAGAGCTTTTTACGTCAAATAGCACACATTTTTTACTTCAAAAATATAAAGTTGCAAGAAAATATTTAAAACAAAGATCACGCTGGCAAAGTCACTGAGTGAGAACAGTAATTAAATAATATAAAGAAAAAAGGAAAGATTTTAGACAAACTACGGATGTGGTAGTTGGCTTATCAAACAAAAAAAAGACAAATTAATATTTTTGAAAATTCCTGTGTGCACGTTCCTATGTTGTGTACTTATTCGCCACTATGATTTGATTCCTTTTATTATTAGAGTACGTCCTAAAATCAATTATATTCATGGACTTGGCACCTCTTTAGTTATTTAGAAAATTGAATAATCAAATACCAGCATGTTAGTAAAGGTGGACCAATTAGTGTTTCAGCCAACGAGCGTTGCATTAAAAGTTTTAATTAAATTCATAAACATTTTTTAATTAAACTGTTTGAGTAATCAATCGACAGTTCCAAAAATATTGGCTTTTACAGTCATAATTTTAGCAATTTTTCCCCGAAATGGTTATCAAAAGTGGGTGTGTTGTACAAGCATGCAATTAAACTTTTCACTAATTAAAATTTGAAGTCAAATTATATGTATGTAACTAGCTTTTGCCCGCGACTCCGTTCGCGTGGACTGTTTATAGTGTTTTCCTGCAGATTTTTGGTATGAAAACTATCCTATGTCCTTTCTCCAGTTCCAAAATATGTCCGTACAACCGAACAAATTTCATAGAAGTCGGTTCTGTAGTTTAGGCGAGAAGGAAAGAGTTATTTTTTCATTTATAATATTAGTTTGGATAAGGCCCTATTGCTATGTAGGCAAAATATTTTTGTAAATTGCACATAAAACCAAAAAGGAATTAATAGTTAATGTATTATGTAGATTCCAAATTTTTTCATAGGAAAAGACACGGGAAGGTTAGGTACTTACACTTCCTGACTTCCTACCCAGGGAATCACTTGATGAGATTCAACTCCTCAAAATCCCTCCTCAAAATCCTCAAAACATATACCAACTGATGATTAAAACATCCTAAAAAAATATCATCAGTTACCTATCTTTGCATATTAATTATCATGAGATATATATTCAAAAAATTGAAAATAACGACTTTCACCCGGATTCCGAAAGGCCAATCAATGTTAAAATCAATTTAGTCTCTTGTCAAGTCATCAGATTGGTTGACTGAATTATCAACAACCAATCAGATGACTTGACACCTAGTTAGTTGATTTTAACATTGATCGGGCTTTCATAGACGTCGCCGCGACGAACACGCTGCTCATGAATAAGAGTCCCATGGTAACTTGAAACTAGTAGAGCCTTTCTCAATTACCGATCAATGAATGACGGACGTTGTCAAAGTCGAGCCAAACATTTGTTCTATCTAGACGATATTACGTGTCAAACAGCAACAATTAAATTTGATTTCTATTCTAGGTGTAATATGGGCCAAAACCGCTTTACCTGGCGCTGGAAAATTCTTCAGCTTGATGAAGAAACATGGGAAGAAAGTGCATTTCGTTTCAAATAACAGTCTTAGAAGTAAAGAAAACTACGAGAAGCGGTTTGAAGATGCCGAAATCGAAAATGGTTTTGTAAGTAAATTATTCTTTATAACTATTATTTAATATTAAAATCATTTTACTATATTGCGATCGGAGAATGATTATAACATATTTCGACAGCAATATAAAAAAATAACATTTACAAAACTGCATGTGTGTGTGTGCATGTCCAGTTTATAATAATAGGTTAAATACCTTCAGTTACCCAAAAAGCGAAGTCAAAATAAAATAATTCCTAAGACTACCCGCTGACCATAATTTCACATCATCAGCCTATTAGTGGCCACTGCTGAGCAAATGCCTCTTCTCACAAGGAGAAGGTTTGAGCATTAATCACCACGCTTGCTCAAGGCGGATAGGCGATTTCAAACTTACAATATTTTAGAAGTTATAACCTTCATTTCAATAAGACCGAATGACCAAAAAATTCAAACTAACATGTACAACTTTAACATGTCCGTCTGTCCATTAGTTATTTTTGTCAAACATAAACATTGGCGTTTTTATTCCTGTGTTTGGTGTGACAAACAAACATTCAATGTGAGCTGTCTGATCTGGGTTTAATATGCAGCACCCAAATCCGGAACATCAATTCTTGGATCATACAAAGAGTTTTCCCGTATGGGAATCGTGACACGTTGTGCGGTAGTCAGTTGCCCAGCCACCGTGCTAACCCTGCACTCATATTGAAGCTTTGTTCTTTCTAGAGCCTAGATTTCTATGGAGAAGAATGAGTTTCACGTGCATTCTACTTTTTCACTTCTTACTCGATAATATTATTTGTGAAGAGTGTGTAAACACTTCTGTCAAAAATTGTCAAAGTTTTCTTGTATCAATTGAACTTTAGTTCTAATAAAAATCTGAAAATTCAATATAGGTATAAATAATACTCGTAATATGGGATTGAGGTAAATATTTCACAAATTGCGTACAGTTTTATTATACGTCTAGCAATTTAACTGACCAACTGATCAACTGAATAAACGTTGTATCAAAAGTTTTAATGTAACAAATAAAATATTATCTTGGCTACGCAATCCCGAAAAACCCATTAACAAATCCATTTAAACACAAACATCCATTCATGAAGTGATAAAATGGCTTAACATTTATAAATAAATTGAATAACTTAAATTCAGAATGATTCTTAGAATTTAATCTGTTGACTACTACTACTAAAAAATCACTTACATGATGATTAGCTGAATATTGTAAAATTTCGATAATCGGTTTTTTATCTCTAATTATACATTTATAAAAGACTAGCTACTCTTGCGCGGTTTCACTCGCTGCTCGGCTCCATTTAATCGTAGCGTGATTTTTTATAGCCTGTAGCACTCTGGAACATTGTAGCTATCTATCAGTGAAAGAACTTTGGCAATCCGACTAGCGGTTCCAAAGATTATCCCCTACATACAAACTTACAAATTTTACCTCTTTATAATATTAGTATAGGTAATGATTATGTCATAAATGTTTTAAAATATTTTTCACTTTTTAAGCTAGCGTAGGTGATTTTAAGCTAAGAACTTTAAAATGTTGATAGTCGTATTTAAATCTGTAATTCGATTTATAAACGATAACGATTATGTAATTAATATTTAAAACATATTTCACTTTCTAAGCACGAGTAGCTGATTTCTGGCAAAGAATTGTAATATTTCAATAATCGAATAAATTTTAATCCCTTATTAGATATTCATAAAAGATAATGTTTATGTCACTAATATTTTAAGATTATTTTTTACATACTTACACCTGGTTTCTGAATTTCTTATGGCTAGCTGAAAATGGCTAAAAATTTCGAAGGATTGGGCATCCGGTAGCCCCAATTACACGACGAAACATAACTTTAAAGTGTTGTTATATTTTGTGAGGCCGTTAGTCCGGTCAATTTAGACCAAAAAATGAGGGTGAAGTTACATAAACTCCCAACAAGCTGAATTTCTGTGAAATTGTTCAAAACATAGTTATAAACAATGTCTAAAAGTTCCCCATCATTCCCCTGTAAGGAAAAATTTTTATTCAAGGTCAAAGGTCAGAAAATTGAGTTTTTCTCGATTTGCAGCAAAACGGTAAATTTTATGATAAAAGTACCTCCGACAAAAATTGTAGTTCATAAAATTATCTATAAAAAATGTACCAACACTTTTTTCTTATGACCCACCGCTTCTGAGATATAACGATTCAAAAAGTTATAAAAGTTGTTATTATCATAGTATGCATATATACATCAAGAGATCATCGCCACATATATACATCAAGAGTTGTTACATTTTATGTATGTTAATAATTAACTAAAATTCGCGGGTTACTCACGTGTGAATGTTGAGAAAAGCTCTAGAAAGAAACTAGTAGAGCTTTTCTCAACATTCACACGTGAGTAACCCGCGAATTTTAGTTAATTTAGTATGTCTCACGATAGTTATTATAAAAACATGTTAATAATTAATTTTACATATGTTTCAACATTTTATATTGGTCATTGTAACTTATACTTACAATATAAATATAAAATATACTTAAATTTTAACAACATCTGCATTTTACAAGAGGGGTAAAACAGCAGTTTTCAAAATATTTGAAAACAAGTTTTAATTCAATGTGCTAAAGTTTTTAAAAAGAGTTATTCAAATCAACAAGGGCATCCACTTTCTTCTTTCTATGTACGGAGCTCCTAAAAGAACTACCTGTTTAGATAAGCATCGATATGCATGTTTCGTTAAAAATACTAAAAATAAAAAACAAGTTCAATTAGCTTGTCTTTCTCTAACCTTAGTTACTGGTCACCAACATCTTCTTCGAGTATATTACCAAGTTCAAGTGTGGCTTGGTTATCAGCTACAGATTGGGGTTGAAAGTTGGTCAACAACATATTAGATCCAGTTCAAACATTACTTCCACCAGCGCCGGAAAAACTGCTGAACACTATTTATTGCAACTGCAAAAAGGGATGCAGTGCTAAATGAGGTTGCAAAAAAGTCGGGCTATCTTGTTCTTTGGCATGTCCAAATTGCCAAGGCCGGTCATGCTCTAATATTGAATCACAAACAATAAAGGATTCGTTTGACTCCGACGAAGTATCATGTGATACATCGCTATTGACGCAATTTACTTGCATCCAAAATGCATCCACCGCTTTTATCTTTCTACAACAATCTTTGAAAATTTTCGTTATTTTGAGATAGTTTTACATTAACAGGATGACCCGTAAAGTCGGCCTACTGAGGATACTACGTTAAAAAACGTGCTAAGTACACTACCTCATAGGTGGCATGGAAAGGTGTGCATATTATGACAATAACAACTTTTATAACTTTTTGAATCGTTATATCTCAGAAGCGGTGGGTCATAAGAAAAAAGTGTTGGTACATTTTTATAGATAATTTTATGAACTACAATTTTTGTCGGAGGTACTTTTATCATAAAACTTACCGTTTTGCTGCAAATCGAGTAAAACTAAATTTTCTGACCTTTGACCTTGAATAAAAAATTTTCCTTGCAGGGGAATGATGGGGAACTTTTAGACATTGTTTATAACTATGTTTTGAACAATTTCACAGAAATTCAGCTTGTTGGGAGTTTATGTAACTTCGAATGTCTAAATTGACCGGACTACGTGATATCATTTCAAAAGATCCGGCACATTCGTGCTTAATATTTTCTCACACTTAGATATAATACGTTATATGTATAAAATAGCTTTTACCTAGTGTTTTTTTTCTACAAGAAGATGAGAAAATTAGTCGACGACAAATCAAAATGTGGCTGATAGCCAATCCATATATGTAAGTAACTTGGAAATCTGCCCGTCTTATGAACTTTAAACTAGAAAGCAAGTATAAGAATTTGTCTAGAACATCAATGCTTTTAGAAATATTCCATTGAATTTTTATGTTTCATAAAGGATACCTAATGAATATGCTTAAGCAAACTTAAGTACTATTTCTTTGTTAATAGCCGTTCTCAGAAAACACACGTAAGTAGGCGCGTGTACAAATATACAAATTGAGAAAAATATTACTCACAACCCGAACCGAAATAATTGTTATCAGGGTCATAAAAAAAGTAGTATCTCCTTATAAAACAATACGAGATACAAATATGTTTTCATTGAATTTTCGATATATGGATGTAACTTGGATACATAATACATACAAAGCTAAAAGCTATTAAGCTACATAAATATTGGGCTAACAAAGCATTAGGTCAAATAAACGTTGTTCAGAAGTATACAATACGTAATACATATTAAAAAAACAAAAAAATATATTAACGTACTAGAACTAAATGCTAGAGTGTAGTGTATTATGTATTTAGCAGACCAAAAAGAAGGTAGGAATGCTGCACATGAGTAAGCCTAAAACATAATAATTAATTCAATTAAATAGATTAATAGTACTGGCAGAAGCTAGAATGGGGAACTACTGCGAACTATTTTACTGATAAGATTCTGTAAATCTTTGGTATTTATTTGGCTCTGACGTTATGTTCACACGCCAGACACCCAGCGAACGCGTGCGCCACTCAGTGAATCATTCAAACTGATAACATCAACATCTATCATTATGAAATTTATTTATCTCGAAAGTCTAATAAGAATACTCTAAGTTGATAAATAAATAATCTACACTATAAATATTTTTGTAACCTTTATCTGGCTTGCCACGTTGGCTTTGTATATGCAATCAGAATCGACGTGGCACGGAGATAAATGGTTATCTATATACCTATTGAGATAATACATATATACCTACTGTACGTTTAGGTATATGGATGTTGGTTATAATATCAAGGTATAGGATAGATTTTCTTTTTTTTGCAAGGATATAGAATTATTTATTATAAGAAATAGAAAAAAGAATATTTAGCGTAAAGTTCATGGAAATGTAAAATCATTTTTTTACGTTATTAAACGCTACGCGCCGTACGCTTGGGTCTAGTTCTGTTCGGACGGCAAGATAATCTTGCTCACCGTCCGCAGGCCCGCGCATACGGCGGCCGGAGTCACGCCGTGCCTCCGTAAATGACCCTTAGGCTTAACTTCAATTAGCTGGGGTTGTGGAATAAGTGAAATAAGGAACTACAGCTTCGACCTGGAGCAGGAGAAGGCACGTGGTCGTATTTTAGCCAGGTTTGCAGGGTCAGCGCAATGAGGCAAAAAGATAGGCTGCCCAAAAAGACATTCTATCATAGCTTAAGAAACATAAACCAAATTAAATTACGAAGGCATAGAACTAACATATGAAGGAGCACCATTATATAATAATCTACCAAATAACATTAAGGAAAGTAAATCGCTTGCAGTTTTAAAACTCAATTAAAAAACTATGTCTATGATAATATTTATTAAAAAATTGCTCGATCGCTGTAGGCTATAATTACATATATTTGTTATTTTCCCTGAATCACGGGTTTAGATAAATCTAGTTCAGGTTTACCCTAGGCACTTTACATTTCAAAGTTTATCTCTTTCTACATCATCATAATTATAATAATGTAATGTAAGTTAACTCTTTCTTATAAATGTAATTAAATTTAATTTTTTTTTTCTTTATTTTTTTTTATGTCAGTAAGAGTCTGACACTAGCTATTGCCAGTCATCAATGAAGTCATTTGATGATTTGAATTTCATGTCATGGCTGAAAACCGAAATAACTTTATTGGGAACGAAGTATCAATACTTTAAGCAGACAATATTATTACTTAAGCTTTCAGAGAAAAGCAAATTTTAACTATATGCATGAGAAATTAGAGGTCTATTTAGGTTGAAGGCATAAAATCATTAATACCTATCAAAGAGTCTGTATTTGCATTACCGCATTATTTCCAAGGATATGCTTATCAGAAATCAACAAAGTTAAATAAAGTAAAATGATCATAGTTGGTAATAAAATGAATGATAATACTGAATCTTTTGATTGCAGGTATTATATAATGTATTTACTTACACACAGGAAAGAATTCCTTTTGTGATTTACAAGTTGTTGTCTGGGTGTGCGTGCGATGTGTGCAAAAATGTGCACAAAAAATTATTTAAAAAACAAAAAAAAAACGATAAAAATAAACATTAACTTTTTACTAACTTTAACTACCTTTAAAAAGTATAAGTATAATAGAAAAAAAAACTTAATTGAAATCGTTTCATCCGTTCAGGAGCTATGATGCCACAGACACACAGACAGACACGTCAAACTTATAAAAGTTTTTGTTTTTTGTGACGTACAAGTACCTTTTATTTAATACCCCACTTGAGCATATTTGCAGACATTCGGTTTTTCTTCCCCACTTTAACCCCCTATAACTTTTAAAAGGCTCAATCGATTTTCATCAAACATGTCTAAGAACACTTGCCCGTAAAACACCTGTAAGTAATACAAAAAAAACTAAATTGAGATCGGTTCATTCGTTCAGGAGCTATGATGCCACAGACAGACACGTCAAACTTATAACACCCCTCCTTTTGCGCCGGGGGTTAAAAATATAAAAGTTTATTACTAATCGTCGCTCGAAGGACGGACGGCCTATGGGCCCAAAAAGTACCAACTCGAGTGGCGACCAAGGACAGGAAAACGTAGCGTGGGCAGGCCCCCCGCTAGGTGAACCGACGACATTCTCAGAGTCGCGGGGAGCCAATGGATGCAGGTGACAACTTGTCGTTCGACGTGGAGGACTTAGGGGATTACTATTATATTTATTTCTTTACTATCATCATCATCATCATCAGCCTATAAGTGCCCACTGCTGAACAAAGGCCTCTTCTCATACGGAGAAGGTTAGAGCATTAATCACCACGCTAGCTAAATGCGGGTTGGTGATTTCAAACCTTTAATTAGAAATTATAAGTCATGGTTTCCTCACGATGTTTACCTTCACCGTATGGCAGTGGTGTATAAATAATCATAGTCCATATAGTACATATAACTCGGAAAAAGTCACATTGTTACTTGCCAGGTTTCGAACCCTCATGCATGAGAAGCGGGTTCCTAAACATCCGGGCCACCGCGACATTATTATTTATTTCTTTGCTAAAAAGCTATTTATCCATCTGATTTTTTAACCAGCATCCATATACCTAAATGTTCAATAGGTAAACAGATAACTATTTATCTCAGTGCCACGTCGATTCTGATTGCATATACAAAGCCAACGTGGCAAGCCAGATAAAGGTTACAAAAATATTTATATTGTAGTTTATTTATTTATCAACTTAGAGTATTCTTATTAGACTTTCAAGATAAATAAAATAAATTTCATAATGATAGATGTTGATGTTATCAGTTTGAATGATTCACTGAGTGGCGGCACGCGTTCGCTGGGTGTCTGGCGCGTGAACATAAAGTCAGAGCCAAATAATGCCAAAGATTTACAGAATCATATCGGTAAAACGGATCGCAGTAGTTCCGATAGACATGTTCTAACTTCTGCCAGCAACAAGACGGACGGACTTTAAATATTCTTTTGACATTTCAAATTGTAGCTTAGTAGCTTTATAATAAAGGTTTAGTTAAGTTAAGTGTGGGAGAGCCATGCTTCGGCACGAATGGGTCGGCTCGACCGGAGTGATACCACGGCCGCACAGAAAACCGGCGTGAAACAACCACAGCGTTGTGTTTCGCCGTGTGAGTGAGGTTACCGGAGGCCCAATCCTTCCCCTCCCCCTATGTCTCCTCAATCCCTAAATTTCCTCATCTCTAATCTCTAAAAGGTCGGCAACGCACTCGTAACTCCTCAGTTGCGGGTGTCCATGGGCGGCGCTGATTGCTTACCATCAGGTAATCCGTCTGCTCGTTTGCCGACCTATTACATACAAAAAAGAAGTTGACAATTTTCCAATTATGAATCTTTTTGAAAATGCAACAACATTCAGACTACCTACCATTTAGAAAGTATTTGACCCTCATTATAAATAACTTCTGACCTTTAAAACATTGATGAAAACTTTTTAATTAATAATGATATTTATTAATAATTAACTTAAGCATTATTGCGAATCAGTGTGGTTGTAAACGGAGTGTGTAAAGGTCAAGTAATGATTTTCCACTAACTAAAAAATAATATCGTCTGTCATTAATTACTGATTATGTTTATTTTACGCTGACGATAACGCTGCGTCTTTGTTTGTTTTTTTTTTTCGCACTTCAGCTTTTTTTCGAACGCCTCTGTTTGAATGATGGCCCCTCATTGGCCAATATGATTTGTCGCACGAGAAATTGACATAATTTATTCCTTGGTTTTAGTCCAGAAAAATCGATGGTTCTGATAGTATAATGGATGTCTTAAAAGTTTGTGTTTTAATAAAAGACCTATCTAATAAGAAAGCCCTTTAGTATTAAACTGACTCACCCCGACTATAAATACTAATGCTTTTCTAACCAATATCCTAAGATGATCATAAATATTCTTTATCGTACCTACACATAAAATCTTTTGATCCATACATAATTTATTTATTCTTCTTACACGGCTATGTTACATGGAATTACTTTTCTTTAGTGCGATTACTCTACACATATGTACCTAATATATTATAACCTTGCCCCACTCTCGATATTTCTCTATGGTAGGTGCGTTTACATACACGGTACCTAGACCCTGAACAATAATTTGTCGATCACACAAGGAGTTAATCCTTGCCGGAATTGACGCCACGACACGTTACACGGCACCTGGCAAAGTTGCCCAGCCACAGCGTCAAATGTGCAGCCAAGGTTGTACAGTGTACGAAAAATGTTAATTTTATTGTTCTTATAACCAATAATGATCATTGTACAAAAATTTTTCGCATTATGGATGGATATTGACAAGCAATGGTTGTTTCGGGTCGCTTTTACGGGAACTCATGTTGTTATAAAATATAATAATATTATTATTGTCAACCATTACCTACATTTCTTGAAATTAACAAGGCATATTTTCTAATTTCATATTTTTTGCAGGAAAACCTCACAGTGCCTTCGATCGCGATTGCCGAATATTTGAAGTCTGTCAACTTTGACAAGAAAATCTACAGCATCAGCTGCCCAGAGACTAACAATATGTTGAAATCATACGGATATGAAATTAAAGAGGGTGTAAGTGCTTTTAATACGTTTTATGGTGTCATCATCATGATCATCACCCTATAAGTGCCCACTGCTGAGCAAAGGCCTCTTCTCAAACAGAAAAGCTTTGAGCATTAACCACCACGCTTGCTCACGGCGGATTGGCGATTTCAAACTTATACTTATAGGTTATAAGTCCTAATTTTCTCACGATGTTTGTCAGTGGTATCTAAATAATCATAGAACGTACATACATACAACTTACAAAAAGTCACGTTGATACTTCTTGCCAGGTTTGAAAACCGCACCCTCATGATGAGAAGCGGTCCCCCTGACCTTCAGGCTTCCACGATTTAGGTTTACGGTTTATGTGGCTTTGTATGTGACCAGCAGTATGTTTTATGCGTAAGAGCAGCCAAAAATACCACCAAATACCACAGATGCTTAGCAATCAGCAACGCCCTCGCCCCCGCAGGGCCACCGGTATACTTACTCACACGACGAAACTAGAAGCAAACTATGTTTTAAGTCGGTTGTTTGTGGTATCACTCCGGTCGAGCCAACACATTCGTGCTGAAGAATAACTCTTCTACAAATATATGACTACAAATCAATTTAAAATTTATCAGATAATCAAATATTTTTAGAATGTAGGTATACCTTTTATTTTGGTGCAATTGAAACAGATAGATTTTAAATTAACCAACTTGGCAACCACCATTTGGTTTCAGGACAGTTTGGTAACAGTAAAAGGACATCACTTTAATCTTTATTAAAATTTCATTAATTTTGTTTGTTTATTTTGTAGCCCGATGTTGGAACAGACTACTATGAAGACTACATCCTCTATTCTAAGGATGATCCAGAAATTGGTGCTGTGGTGATGGACTGTGACTTCAAAGTGAACTTGCCCAAGCTGAACAAAGCCAGCGCATACTTGGCCAGACCTGAAGTATATTTCCTATGTGGTGCTACCGACAAATACGTCTATCATAAACCCGGGTTCCGTACTTTAGGTAATAATTACATATTTTATTCCATCTTCTAGATTTCATTTTTGTTTATGAATGTAAAATAATTTAATACGCTTCATGCACAAAAAAAATATTGTTAATAAGAGGGACTTAATGCCATGGGCATTCTCCAGCAGTCAAGTCTTTGGGTGATGCAGAGAGACACGATAAATCTATACAAATTAGCACTATATATTTATATAACAACATAATAAACGTGCAATACTTGCATACCAATATTACTTCTCATCTTCCTTTAAAAGGAAGAAACTGATGAAACATTATTTTCTGAAATTTTGTAATTAATTCAAGTCGCCAAAGAAATTTTACTTTCTTGCTTGAAAAAATATCCAATTCTATAACCACGCGCAGAATGGACTTATCGACTGTAACATTTATTTATTTATCCCGCATATATATGTTTTGTAATAAACTTATCGTCGTTTCTTTTAGCTACGGGGGCCTTCACAGACTTAGTGGCTGAAGAAACAAATCGAACGCCAGTCACATTGGGTAAACCTGGTAAGGCGTTTGGAGAATTTGCTATGAAGAGAGCTGGAGTATCAGATCCTAGTCGTGTCCTTTTCATCGGAGACATGTAAGTTATGTTACACTATGTTTTTATAATAACTATCGTGAGACATACTAAATTAACTAAAAATCGCGGGTTACTCACGTGTAAATATTGAGAAAAGCTCTACTAGTTTCGAATATAAAACAACCCGCGATTTTTAGTTAATATGTTACACTAGTTATACAGTACCTAATTATAAAATAGTCGGTGTGTATTCCAGACTAGATCCTTCTTAATGCCAAATTTCGATCAGATTCGTTCAGTACTTTTTACGTGATATTATTAAAAACATCCCTCATCTCTCATATTTACCAACGTTTGCGTTAATGTTATTATTAGGATATATTTATTAAATTTAACGGAAGAATACTAAACATAGCTGGACCCAGAATTCGAGAAAGTATTTTATTATTGAATTTTCTTTAATTATTTGAACAATACTCAGTTCTTACTGCCTTATAATGGCTTTTGAGCAGCCTTTGCATATCTCTAGCAAATAAAAAAGTAGGAATAATTCTTAATTAAAAAAAAAACATGAACACAAAATCTTGTACAAAATGTTCGTTCTTGACAATGAATAAAAAAGTATTTAATTAAAAACAACTAAGTAATAGTTGTCAAGAACGCAATCCTATCAAAAACAAAAAGTATAATAAACAAATCAAATATGGTTCTTAATTACGTTTATTGACTTTTTGTGTAGGTACAAAGTTGCGCGAACAATATTATGAATACTTGATGAAATTTTAATAAATTCCTGTTTCAGTTTATTTAATTTAAATTAAACTTTTTAATAATTTACACTCGATACTCTCTCGATGAGTTCATTGTTATGTGGTTTCGTTATTACGTGTCACGTTTTAAATTAAATCAAAAGGAGGTTTTATTTCGTACGTCCATTGTTACAAGTTAAAGTATTTATTTAATGAAAAAAGTTTATAATGAGCGAATTGTAACGTAAATTAAATTGAAATGAAAAATATTAAATTGTTATTCATGAGTCTGTTAAAATTGAATTAAGTTACATACAATTTATGTGTGAGTTCATTTCTAGCTTTTTTATTATGTTACAGCTCGGCAATCGAGCAAACGGATTACCTGATGGTAAGCAATCAGCGCCGCCCATGGACACATGCAACAACAGAGGAGTTACGAGTGCGTTGCCAACCTTTTGGGGATAAGGGATTTGGGAGATTTAGAGGGGAAGGATTGGGTATCCTGTGACCTCACTCACACGGTGAAACACAACGCTGTGATTGTTTCACGCTGGTTTTCTGTGAGGCCGTGGTATCATTCCGGTCGAGCCGATCCATTCGTGACGAAGCATGGCTCTCCCACACTTCAAGAAGCTAGTTTATTGTTTTTTCAGTTAATGCCCTGTTATATATAGTACCTCATTTTCTTATATTATTGAGACAGTATTTTGTGATCACTTATTTTTAAAATAAGTTTTTTAAACACGGTCTAATAAAGATGACAAAACTGAGATCACTCTCCGCAAATGATACCTACAAGTATTTGGGTATGTCGGAAGGATTGGGTATTAATGGGCCGCACATGAAACAATCCTTACAGGAGCGCTTCTTTGGCCGCCTGAATAAGGTACTGAAAAGTTCGTTATCAGGCGGCAACAAGGTCTTTAACAGCCTTTAACGGTTGGGTCATGCCGGTCCTGATGTATTCTTTTGGCATACTCAAATGGACTCAGACTGAACTTGACACCCTGGATAGACGAGTCCGGACGCTGCTGACTGCAAATCGAATGCATCACCCTCGTTCATCAGTCATGAGGTTGTACATCCCGCGGAAGCGTGGGGGTCGAGGCTTTCTAAACGCTAAGACCCTTCACAACCGTGAGGTGTGCAATCTCAGAGAACATTTCCTGAAAGTGGACGAGGATATGCATCGAGAAGTAGTCACAGTGGACAAGGGATTCACACCACTATCCTTGGCTAAAGAGAACTGGTGCAAACCCGTAGTACTGAGCGTCAATGACCGCAAGACGGTGTGGAGTAGCAAGGAGCTTCACGGACGCTTTTTCCGGGCTCTCCACGGGCCCGATGTAGATTTTCTAGCGTCCGTAGCTTGGCTACGATTCAGTAACCTCTTCGGAGAAACTGAAGGATTTGTATGTGCAATTATGGACGAAGTTATCCTCACGAATAACTACCGGAAATATATTATGAAGGATGGGACGGTTGACATATGTCGGGCATGTCATAGCCCCGGTGAATCCATCAGACATATTATTTCCGGCTGTGGTCGTTTGGCTAATGGCGAATACTTGCACAGACATAATCAGGTGGCCAAGATTATTCATCAGCAACTTGCTTTGAAATACCGGCTTGTTGAGTCTGAGGTTCCGTACTACAAGTATGTGCCCGACCCAGTTCTCGAAAAAGACCATATCACATTGTACTGGGATCGGTCTATCATCACAGACAGGACTATTGTAGCCAATAAGCCTGACATAGTGGTGGTAGACCGACTAGCGCGTCGCACGACGATAATCGATGTTGCCATTCCTCATGACGAGAACCTCGTGAAAGCTGAGAAAGATAAACAATTGAAATATCTTGACTTAGCTCACGAGGTTGTTGACATGTGGAGTGTGGACTCGGCTATCGTTGTGCCGATAGTTGTGTCGGCAAATGGGTTAGTCCCCAAAAGCCTCGACAACCACCTTAAGAGGCTGACGTTAGGCGGATGGATCAAGGGCCTCATACAGAAGGCAGTCCTCCTTGAAACGGCACGTATTGTGAGGAGGTTCCTGTCTTTGGAGCCCTAACTGCCGGTAGCTTGGACCCTGCTCCCGCTGCCGGCTGGCACCTACTTTTATATTTTTAAATATTATTTTATTTTATTTTATAGTAATATTTAAAAATGTAATTTTAGAGTAATTTTATTAAATATATGAATAGTATGACAATAAAAATACATTTACGTATTTATTTTTCGTCCTCCAGTTGATTACCTAGTTTTACTTATTTTTGTCTTTTTGTTTCAGGATTGAGCAAGATGTGGGCCTTGGAAAAGCGACTGGCTTCAAAACCTTGCTGGTTTTAAATAACCTAACTGTCGATATGATGCTAGGTCACAAAACGATCAAACCAGATTTTTACGCCCAATCACTAGGTAGCCTAGTGCCGCAATTAGAACAATCTTTTAAGTGAATTATAAATAAATATGAAACTTGCCTCGCCATATAAAATGTAGGTAATCTTTTTTATTTAAAATCTTGGTTGATCTAAATCTTTTTCACATTATGCTGCAATGCTGGCTTCTAGATTCAAAATTCAATCAAAAATGTTCTCTTTATTACCTATATTAAGATACTTTTATACATAGTATAATGTCAGTCCCATCGTATTCCTGTTTAATTTACTTAACAAAAAAGAATTTAAATAATCTAAATAAATCTAGGGCGACTTCAGAATTAGGTGACGATAATATACAGCATTATTTATTAAAATGCTGCATTGCATAAAAACATACATGTAATATTCAATTTAAAAATCGAAAATGGATTAAATGCTATTGAGATTTTGAATTTTATAATTTCGCAGTTGTAGCGAAATGTCTGGTTATCTTAATTAACTGAAAAACGCTCTAATAAGTCACAACAGGACTCTCATTCATGATGGGACGTTGCACGCCGCTGACCAGCCAACTTCTAGATAGCTTTGTTGTGTGTAGGTTAATTCACGTGAGTAAGTTATTTGAAATAAAAGCCTAGTTTATTTGATGTTTGGTAAAAAACACATAATACTACGGACATATAGAAAAATTAGCTTGACGCTTGCGATGTGTTCAACGTGTGCCTTCAAATATTTCCATACTAAGCAAGCTACTACTACAGTTTCAAACGATGCTCGGCTCCTATTGGTCGTAGCGTTATTCTATAGCTGATGACCTAATTCATATAATAAATTATCCAAGTCAAAAAGAATTATTAAATTCATAACAGTAATTCTAGAGATTAACACGTTCCAACGAACAAACTTTTCAGCTTTATTATGATATGAATAATGAATTGAAATATAGATTTATATAAGAACGAAGTTCCACATGAAAAAGCAAGATTATTTAATTTTTATTAAAATGTTTGTTAAACAATTTTAGTTTGAAAATAAGCGTGTTGCATTGCGCATAGTGATGATCAAACTTATTATTTAAATCCATTTTTTTTTAAGTACTTAAGAAAATATGTACGATAACTTATAAAGTAAAATTCCATAGCACTTAGATTATATTAAATAAATTTTGAATTAATTCCATGGTACTTATTACAACTATATTGTACTTATAAATTATATGAGATATAGTTTTATAGTTTTTATTTATACATATATTATAAAAGACGTTATAATATAAAAGATTAAATGTGATATGAATAATCAAGCCGTAGGTACTACATTCACAAGTATAATTATACATAGCAGAAACAATGCAAATGTTTACCTTAAGTATATTAAAAATTTCATTAAATTTTGCACAGCCGTTTATGCGTTAAGCGCTCAGAGATAGCAATGTACACGAGGGTATACATACTATAAATATATGAATAGTTACGTATACATGCCTACGTAAAGTATGACTGCATTAGACTGAAGAAATCTAATGAAATGCCTTCACTAAGAATTAAGTATGTACTTTTATTTTATTTAATAAAAATACTATAAAAATAAAGTTGTTTTCATTCAGGTATATTTGATTTGGTAAACTACACACTTCTTCAATCGACATTACCCTGCGTTCCTTCAATGTTGGCCCTGTAGCCAAGAGCATCGGAAATATATACCTATATCTGTATTGCAGTCTCTATCATGAGTAAACTTCTAAACGATCTTATTTGTATAGCGGACTAGCTGCAGAGTTGATATATTAAAAAAAGAAAGAACAATGCCCAAAAATGTATGGACACCGTCCCCACCCATTGTAGCACTTTAAAACCTATGTTAACCGAAGGGCCATCGTCATTTTATCATTTTATTGCATGACAGCGAATCGGAAATGTGCATACGAAAAAAGTTATATCGACATGAAGAAACCGGAATCAGTCACAATAATAATTATGTTTCCGATCACGATGCATTTCTTTTTCCTGTGGGATGGTTTCGTTCGGAATTTTCAAACAACTCTTTTTAATTAAATGCTGACTCCCGCTCGGGAACAACTCACGGAGCAGAAAAAAGTTCATAAAGAATTCTTCTGGGAGACAAATACGCGTAAGCTGAAGGAGGTTCCGAAAGGTACTAAGGAACAATTACAATAACCAATAAAACCGGCAGCGGTAGACAGGCAAGCGATAAGGGAAGAAAGACATACTTCCCTTCTCCCCGCCCTTCCACCACCCCACTCAGCGTCGTATGGCGCTGCGCGTGCGGCTCTTATTATAGCCATTTTATACTGCTCTCAAAATCTTACCAAAATGTAATTATATTGTAGTAGGTATGGTTACATCATGTCGAAAAAGTATAATAAACGGCCAATAAATTGTTACTGATTCCGTTTTAGTCGTGTCGATATAACTTTTTTCGGATGCACATTTCAGTTTCGCCGCCGAACAATAAAATGATAAGATGGTTATGGCCCTTCGATTAACATAGGTTTTAAAGTGCTACAAGGGTGGGGACGTTTTGAACTTTGAGGTTATAATTTAACCATAATAATGAATTATAAGTGTAATTTTTCAAAGCTCTCTGTATTTTTTTTAGGACCAACTTAAAATCACTAAAACTTCTTTTTATCTGTGTACCTATAAAACCAGCCATAGGTACCAGTTGCCAGCGAAGATGGCGACTACCTACTAATGGTATTAGTCACGTAAAACACTATTAACCTCTCATCTGCCGTGTATACGAGACCCAATAGAAAACACATTGTGTCTCGCGTAGATCTGCGCTCCGGTATCCCACGAAATGCACATTATTGAATATAGATTGTCCATGTTAGGAACTTAAATAATAAAAAAGACCATTAATTATCGTGTATAGTTCAGTTGCTCTTTATTGCACAGGGCCAATTTAGACATTGTCTTGCCACTAAATTGACAATTTTGTTCCTAGTCAGATAGATAGATGTGTACTAGTTGCGTGTTTGTAGTAAGTGTTGGAGAGCCATACTTTTTTTGCACGAAGAGGCCGGCTCGACCAGAGTGATAGCTCAGCCCCATAGAACAACGGCGTGAAACAAACACAGCGTTGTTTACCGTAACCCTATCCTTAAATCCCCAACTACCCATATAACGACGGAAACGAACTTTTAGTTACTTCTTTGGTATTATGAGTGTCCATGGGCGGCACCAATTGCTTACCATCAGTTATGCCGTCTACTTGTCTGCTGACCTATGTCACAAAAAAGTTGTAAATAGTTCAAAATTACCTTTTTGTGTATTTTAAAACAATCTCAATCTATATACACCAATGCTTATATAATACTAATATTATAAATGCGAAAGTAACTCTGTCTGTTTGTCTGTCTTTTCTTCACGCCTAAACTACTTGAACCGATTTATGTGAAATTTGGTACTTACAGACATAGTTTGGAACTCGAGAAAGGACATAGGATAGTTTTCATATTAAAAATCTGCAGGAAGTCACTAGTATTCTACGCGAACGGAGTCGCAGGCAAACGCTAGTTTTAACATAATTCTTAATCTTACAAACCTTTTCTTTTAAGGGTTCAAGAATATTTTGCAGGTTAGGTCGACAGGATGCAGGCGCAACTCGGCTCTCAGTGTCTGTTGGAAACGTCGCAGTATTAGGTGGTGCTATGGAGTTTCTTGTTCATTAGAAAATTTCTTCCTCGTTTTTCTTCATTTGAAATAATAATATACATTTAAAAAAATGACTGATGGCCTATTTTTAATATACTTTCACGACTTAAAATGTAGATAATATCTGTAAAGTCTGTGTGAGATAAATAAAATAAATAAGAATTAGTTGCAGGGTAAAATAAAAAAAAATCGATGACATTGTATTCAATGAGTGAATAAGTAATGAAATGTACCTAAATAATTTATTATTATTTCACTATAATATATTTCACATAAGCGCTATCTACATCATTAAAGTCAAGTATAATTTATTTTATTATTAATTTTGCCGCGCGGTACATGTTCATACAGTAAGTAATCGCTTTTATGGTTCAATTTTATGAGAAAAATATATTCACCGTCGACAGTAAATTTTATTTATATTTCTATGTTATTAATAAATAAATAAAATATGTGAAATGTTTATGTGCAAGTAAATACAATCGAAATAAGTAGTCGTGGTGGCTTCTCGTACATACATGAGGGTGCGGGTTGGAAACCTGGCAAGTACCAATGTGACAATTTTTGAGGATATGTATTTTCTATAATTATCTAGACACCACTGATATACGGTAAAGGAATACGTCGTGAGGAGACCTGGACTTTTTAAGTATAAAATCGCCAATCCGCCTTGAGCAAGCGTGGTAATTAATGATCAAACCTTCTCCTGCGCAGATGGTGTTGTTGATAGTTTCAGTGGTAACCTTCTTATTAGAAAGAAGGTTACTACCGGAGAACACCACTTTGGTTTAATGTGTGTGCGATTGGTACGGTGGCTGAGCAACCGACTGCCGCGCAACTTGTCACGATTCATTTCTAACAACACTTTGTGTGATCCACAAATTGTGTGATCCTCAAATTGTTGTTCCGGGTCTGGGTGTGCTTTTTTTGTGAGGGGAAAATCATCAATGACTTCTTCCGCCCAAGGTGGAGCGGAAGAAGACTGTCACTGTCAGACTCTTGCTGACTTGGCCGAGGTCGCGGTGACTCATAGCGCTTACCCCGCAACCCCGGCTGAACATCAGCCCTATAGGGCCCCGACTGCGGCGGTCTATTGGCTCTTTGAGGCGCGCGCGCAACGCTACGCACCGTACGCTCTGGTCTGGTTCTATTCGGACAACTACCCTTACTCGCCGTCCACAAACCCGCGCTTACGGTGGCCGGAAATTGTCTCTTGATCCCCGACGTCGAAGAGGTCGCCGCTGCCGATCACTTCCCAGACGACACGGGCGGTGCTCAGTCCAGGCAGGGCATACCGCCACCATATGCTCCACCCTATCCTCTAAGTGGTCCTCACAATGACGATACTCGAGCGTTTCCTCCCGCTGGATCTAAAACAGGAACCTACCGAAGCCGAACTCGCCGGAGCTCATTCCGCCACGCACTAATTTGGCGCGACAAGGGTGTGATGTGTATGTGAAATTGTAAGTTTGTAAACGCTTAAATAAACTTGTATGCTGTTTATAAATAACAACATAAAGGTCAATACATAATATGACAGTCAGAGAAGTGTTAACATCTTTAGTCAAAACGAAAAACATCCTAAAATGTAATAAGATTGGAATTTTGATTTACTTCAAACAAATAATAATTATTCGAAAGCAAATCAAATAACAATAATCAAAAGAAACACCAATACAAATTTCAGCGGATACGATTGTTACAAATTCACTAAACAAAGCAAAAAGCAATTAAATTGTTAAAAAAATAATATCAATAATATTGAAAAGTTTCCGAAACACTGGATGAATGAAACCAATTTAGGAACAAAAACGTTCGTCGAGTATTCCTAACAAAGCATCCATATTTTCCGTTGACAATAAAGAATTTAAATCAATACAATTGTATCCTATTTTCTAGTTGAAAAGTCTCCATTCTGTCTTCAATTTTGTGACCACTGGTCCGGAAAAAGGGCGAATTGATTACGCTATCCTGGAAGCGGTTTTTTTTATTTATTGCTCGCACTTTTTTGTTCAATATAAATTCTAGAGGTCGCATGTAACCAATGTTTCCGGAATTTTTATTGGTTACAAATAAAAAGAGTGGAAAATACCAGAATACCGAGTTTTTAGGAGTCCTTCGATGGTAATACTGATCGTTCTTTACTGGCATTTTTATGACATACAAACGAGAAAGACGTACATATCACCTGGTCACTGGTGTCACTCAAAGTAAGTAGTAAAGATCAACGCTGATCATGGATCAATTAGCTCTAAAGTGGACAGTGTAAGATTATAAATTTTCCTCAAGCGTGTACATAATTTCCGAACCAATACGACTTTCAAACTTTAAGGAAACGTGCGTACTCTTTTTTAAGAGGCTTCCAACTAGTCTGTGACACATCTGGTGTTTCAGTTGTCCATGGGCAGCGCTGATCACTTAACAGCAGGTGATTTCCGCCTGCTCGATTGCCTCCTATTCCATAAAAAATATTGTAGAATATGTTTGTGGAATAATATTTTCAGTATACAACAATATATGTAATTCTTTTAATCATATTGTAGCAACCTTGACCATGATAAAGAAAAATAAGATAAAGCTGACACGTGTTTTCTTTCGTTTATTAGGATTTTTTCCGAGCTTAACTTTTATTTTTGTTTTTTTGTGAGTAGTGTTCGCTTCTATGTGATCAAATAAATGATGACTTATGAGTTTATGAATGAATGGAGACTTCAATTAGAAAATAAAATCCATGCGTTATTACAAATTGACCGCTTGGACCGAGTGATGACACCGCCTCACAGACAACTGGCGTGAAACCACAGCATTGTGCTTTGCCGTATTATTGAGGCTAAAGGAAGTCCATTCCTTCTCCTCTACCATTGCTCCTCAAGCGCTGAATCCCCAAAATGCCAATTTGCATCTCTTGTTGTTGTGGGTGTACAAGAGCTACTGCGGTTGCTTGCAATTAGGTAATAAGCATGCTTTTTGGACGGATGTAATGAAAAAAATAGATTGTTTAATTTTTGATATTGTTAATGTTAAAGCAATTTCGGCCAGTTAAAATACCGGACGCTGACAAAAACCGGTAAGATAATAGCATTTTCGGGCAGATAAAATATTGGCCACGGCCAAAAAACAGGTAAGAAAAACATGATCCTACAGAACCCCTTAGCGATAAAGGTACATCCAGAGAACACCGCAACAATTTATATCTAACGCAGGCGTAAGTGTGGAACGCTCGCTTCAGTTTATTGCTGTGTGGTGTCATTCAACTTTTTCAACTTTTTTGCATACATTTGTGGAGTTGCCCGCGTTCGTGGTACCTCACTTCGTTCCTATGTTTACACATTCAAATGCGAACGTTAGATTCAACGTGATTCTGTGGGATTCGTGTAATCTGGCTTTTTTGAAGTGTAAATTGACTCTGCTTTGTTTCTGAAGGGGGAACTCAATTATACTCTGTTTGTATTAGGCTACAGATAAATGAGTTTTGTTTTGTAGGACTTCAATATTACGAGTATAATGTTGTCTGCTTTCGTTTTGTGTTTTATGTGAAACTTTTGTTTTGTACAATTTTATAGCATAAAGATTCCTATTGACTACTATTGGCTAAAAAAACCACAAAAACATATTATTAAAACTCATAAAAAATCTAAAAATACTCAAAAATTTCGTACTCCTAATTTAACACGTTAAACGCCATCAGGGTCACCGGTGACCTCCGTTAGCGGAGGATATGCCTTCAATAGTTTTCTGTCGGCAGTAAAAGCGTAGTATAGTTAAGATAAAAAAAAATCCAAAAAACATTAATTACGACCTAATTTCTCAGGTTTTAAGGTTGGCATTATCAAAACCCAGCCCAGTTCGCACCTCGACCAACACTTAACAATTCCTAATTGCCGACACGTTGGCGCACGTGATCAACATACCTAATTGGAACACTATCGACCGCTACCTACCTACGGAACCCGCAACACGCTAGCCCCGAAGTTTTGATGAACGCAATCATCCGACGGAACCCAATTAACGTTTCAAACCCTCACGGACTAGGTAGGTGGGTAATGTGGGAATGCTGATGCTAAAAGTGCCTAGGATTTTTTGAGATATTAGCACTCTATCGATATAGGTACCATGTGCCGTGAATAAAATTCATAAGCGTTGGCAGGATGTTTGTTACTCTTTCACGTAAAACTAGTTCACTGGTCTGAATATAATTTAACACAGAAATGGATTAAAGTCTGGCTAAATCTGGAATGATACGTAGGGTACTTTTTAAGCTGGCAGAAGCTAGTCGGTTGTCAATATAAGGTGGATATGGATTTGGCTTTATAGCAGGTAAAAGATCTATATTTTGAGGGGCGCTACAACTGACCTATAAACATCTAATCTCTCTGTCAAACATTAGTGCTTGAATTGTCTCTCAAGATACTCCGTATAAAACTTGCTTATAAAAATAATTGCATATTAACATTTCATATATAAATAGAATACAATACATTAACTTCAAAAACCTCCACGTATCGATTCCAAACACAACAACATATATCCTGTACAAAATACGTTCGAAGGTCAGGTATTCGCAACACGTAAAGGCATTGTAAACAAAATTCTTAAATGGGACATCGGTGGGAAATGAGGACATAGGTAGATTTATTAGGGTTGGCCAGTAAACCCTACTACAGTTTTCGACGAAACCAAATTTTCGTTATCAAGTGAAATAAAATCGAGTTTTCAATTTTGATCCTACTCTTAAACATTTTCGAACGCATTCTAAATTTAAAATTCTTTTGTTTTTGTGTATAAGTAAGTATGCAATTTGGCATCGATATATTTATTTGTCGTTTCGAAAAAATTTCGTTTCGAAGAATTGTAGTAGGTCTCCGATTCAGGTATAGTGTGGATGGCTTCTAGTTTTACTGTATGGTAGTGGCGATTCGGAAACATGTCGTTTATTAGATCAAGGTCGAACGGTTTGGCGATTTTCATATTGATTTTTATTTTGTATCGATGTTAGTACAGTTTTGTGCGTTTGATGTGTTGTTTAAGTAGGATGTCATGGATATTTTGTACTGTTGTCATGAACTATTGTAGCGGAGCAACATTTTGAATTCCTTGACTGTAATTCTCTCTGATATCAATATAAATAGTGTACCATTTATTAGTTCTCGTTGGAGACCCATAATAATAAATAAATAAATTATTTTATCCGTCAAATTAACATATCACTCATAATTTCCTCCGCGTCTACATCAGGTAACTTCAATATTTCAAGGCTCACAGCATTGAAGGTTCATGATTTTTTTTACGTTTGGTAAGAATTGTAAGATCTGGCTACATGTTTGACGTAAGAGCGGTCTCTCATAAAGCTGAACCAGTCTACCATCGTCTGTCTGGCGCTCAGGGCACTGCGCCACATTTTCTCAATGCGACTGCTAAAGATTCACATAGTACGAAAATCTCTAGAAGATCTTGGAGGGATGGAATGATCCTATAAAGTTATGTCTTCTAAGAAAAGTCGTAAGGGCATATAGGTGCTAGTATTTTGCTCCACCCTGTGCGTATAGCCAGATACAATTCAGACATATTGATTGATGTAATAATTCATAAATGGAAATAATGAATGTGAACTAATTAATTTCACTCGATCGCGATGACCTAATTACGTGAATTGATTGCTTTTGCTTCTTTCATCATTTCTGTAATTATTTAATAGACTAGGTACCTACTATGTATGTTTTTATAAGTTATGAGACCTTGTAATAAGACCATACACTGGGTACAAGTTTGTGATAATAGTACGAAGAAGTTTTGAAAACCAAAAAGACCTAATAGTACTTTTGCAAGGCTCGTAAATTTTTACCTGAAATCCCTTGTTCTTCTGTAGCATCTATGCCCAATCAACCAACGAAGCAGAAATCAAAATCTCTTTGTTAAAATAAGTTGTTATTAATATAAGTTGGAATAAAAACAGCATCATGGTTTTAAGAAAGAAAAGGTCCGAGATATACAATTTTACACTTATTAGCTCTCAACCTGTATAGTTTATGTGAAAAGCGATCTTATATTTTCCATCGTGCAGCTTCTAACGATATAAATTCCATTGGTCCACTAGGTTTTATCCGTTAAGGTGAAGAGAGAATGGACTCCGTATGTGATTTTCTTTATGTTTTCTATAATACATGTTGTTATGTGAATATATGTTTTAAACAATTATGTAGTTTTGTCACCAACGAAC